GAGAGAGAGGATCAACAATCTCCCCCTATTTGATGATATCAAGATAACATAAAGAAGGTTATCTTATCAAATAATAGTAAGGAAAAAGTTACATATAAAATACATGTCCCTTTTTACTATTTTGAGATTTTTTTCAGTTTGGTCAGTCTCAGCTTGATAATTTTTCTTAAGTTATATCTAAGAAAATTATAAGTACGGAAACTGAAATTGAAAGTTTATTCACTGACGTAGATTGTCAGTGAATGCGAATACTTATTTTATTAATCATAGGAAATATTACAAGTATTACAGTACATGTCCAGAACTTACAGAATATTAGTATAATCACTGACAGGAGATATAGTACATGAAGTTACAAGGAAAAGTGGAAAGTTGTTACAAAGAGAAACTAATCTAGAGATCTTAGATCTATGTACCCAGGTACACTTTCACCAAGTTTTCTTCGACGTAGGAATTCTCTTCGTATCTTCAGATCTATGACTTTTCCAAGCATGCTATCATCTATCCAGAGCAAAAGATAAATCAAATTATCCATTGGACATAGATGTAGCTCTGACATTCTCTGAAATCTGACTTCATCTTCATAGTCAAGGAATATAACTCCTAACTCATATTTAAAATGCACAGAGTTGGGTGTATAGGGACCTTTATCTGGCAAGTCAAGATTCAACATAGAAATGTATGTACTCTTATGAGCCTTCAGGACTTCATCTAAGGAGAACCTTGTTTCATGTTCGTTCCTTAGGAATGGTCCTTCATTAGGATCATAGAGTTTTTGTTTCTTTTTCCCACATTTCTTCAGAGTTGGCCGATCAGGGACCTTGACATACCTGGACATCCTTTTGATGAGCTCGTTGATGGTGTCCTAGATAAGTGTCTTGTGTCTCGACTTAGATTGCTGAATGGCTTGTCTGATCTCCATCCATTCGTTGTATCCATAGCGGCCAAGGTAGGAAGGGTACACGGTAACGGCATCAAGATTGTCCCTGGTGATGAGCATTGAGACTAGTGTTCCACCATCTTTAGAACGTCCGTTGATGCTGACGCTGATAATTGGGCCGGGACTGAGTCTCTTTTTCAGTTTTGCTTTGCTCCATTGCTTGTCCTTATCCACCAGCTTCAGCTTCTTCTCGCGTTCAGCTTCTGCAATCGAAAGAAGTTTAGCCTGGGCTTGGACATCATTCACCGTTTTCTTGGACCTTTTCTTGGGAAGGACTGTTTCAGCTAGTGACTTAGCCAGTTTCAAGCTGTCTTCAGTCTGTTTTTTTTTTTGAAGTTCTAGCTCTTCTTCAGCCCTTAATCCCTCGAGTCTTTCAGCTTCAGATAAGAAGTCAAACTCACCACCACTAGAGGTACGAAGAGGGATTTTTACTCTAGTCTGGTCGAGTGACTCCTTCAGCTGAGACATCTGCTGGTCGGTTGAAGCACAAGAGACGGGTTGATCAGGTACCCGCTCTAGTCGACCGCAGGTTGTTGATGGAATATAAAGTTGATATTATGAAGTAATCGCTACCTGAGAGGTAGAGTCTTAAAAAAGGGTTGTTGAGGGATTTTGAATAATACCTTCAAGTTACCTTCTTCAGCGACCACCTTGCCTTTCGACTTGGGGTCCTGGTTCCCTGATGGAGTCGATTCACCTTGCCTTTGCTCCCCCTGGGATGCGGAATCCCCGAGAGTAACACCTTTGGTGAYKRTTGATGGYTTCTGRAACTTGATGGTAAAGTCATCTTCATCATCATCATCGTCGTCACCATCTAAATCATCTCCGGTGTCTGGAATGACAGGTTCATCATTGTCTTCTTCATCATCATCATCTTCATCTTCATCAACATCATCATCACCATCACCAGCAACAACGATGGTATGGGCATCATCGCTAGGGATGACATCTATAACTTCAACTAGAGCAGCTTCGGTGGTAGGGATTACAGGAGCAGCGATTGGTTCAGCTCTAAGAGCCTCAGCCTCAACTTCAACTGAAGCTGATACTAGACCAACGGCCTGAGAAGTCGTAGGAGTAGCATCGGATGATTCACCAGCATTGGACCTCATCTCCCCCTCTCTGGCTAAGACTTGAGAGAATTGGCCAGAGAGTTCGTCCAAGCGCTAACGTTGGAGAACCATTGAATCCTCCAGCCTTTGCAAAGCATTGGCTAGAGTGGTCATTGGCTCACGCGTCTCATGGAGCTGAGTGCGATCATTGGCAGAGAAAGAAGGTGCAATCACTAGAGCTGGTTGACGGACAGCATC